ATCTGCTGCTGATGCTGAACCACTGGGTTCAGGTTGCGCGGTGGGGTTTGGTGCCCCTGGGCTTGACGCGTGTCATTTTGTGCGTCTTGTTGGCCGGAACAGGTGCTCGGATTGGTCTAGCGAGGGCAAGATCGGAATTTACATTGATCTGCCAAGTGCCCAAAATCTCTGCAAATTTTGCAGTAAAGGCGCCGCGGCCGTCGCTCCTCTGTGTTGTCGGCGTAGAAAGCGAGGTGTTCCCGGTTTCGGTGCGGCGCTGGTCACTGCTGGTCCATATCCCTCTGTTCGACGAGAAGGGCGACGCATAGGGCAGCCTCCGAGATGACCCCCTGCTGTCGGAGAAGCGCCTTGCAGGGCCGCCACTCTGGGCCGAGCCCTTGAAGCACGATATTCATGAAAATCTCCTTTGAGATCATGCTTCCCAGTTTCGCGATTTGATCGCGTAAGCTCCGACAGCGATTAATGTAGCTGTTGGCCTTCTCCCCTGGGGCCATTTTGGTCTCCAGTAGCTGTTGGAGCAGGCGGCTCGATGAAACATAATCTTTCGGTTGGTACACGCCGTTCAGGTGGCGCCAAGTATCGAGGGCTGGAGCAGGAGTCGTCTTGTACGAAAGAAATCCCCAACTGCTCCGCCGACGACATGTTCCGCAGGAGGACGCCGTACGCCATCAACGACTCGTTGTAGTACTGCGCCCGGGCGTCAGCAGTATCCTCAACGGGTTCCGAGTAGCTCCCGTCGAAGTAGTGAAATATCTGCGCGTTTTGCAGCAGAAGTTCTAGCTCGAAGCTCCACGTATAGAAGTCTTTGTAGTCAAAACACACAGTTGTCTTTATTTTTTATATGCTCAAAATCCTTGATTCCGCAGAGAGAATTGCTTCCTCGCTGGGACGGGGAGTCTTGGGCGTTGAGCCATTTGTGTCGAGGGAGAAGGTGTGCGGGGTGGTATTGTGGTCGTTCGAGGCCGGTTGAGTGGGTTGGGAAGATGTTCCCGCGTCGCCATTCCGCAATGTTTGGAGTTGTTGCTCCAGGCTGGTGAGTCGCTGAAGCATCTGTGCGAGGGCGGCGGTTCCAATCATCATCGTTTCCTTGCTTGTCGCAGCCGGATTGGGCTGCGCTTCAGCCGTCATATTCGTCTGACCACCAGATCCTCCGGCCATTCTCACACGTGAGCGTGTGCCATACGCCACTTTCCGTTTGTCGAAGATTTCGGAGGTGGCAATGCGAAGGATTCCCGAGTCGCTCTTATACCATGCTACGATCAGATGTTGATCGTCCCTAGGATCACCTCGGGAAGGTTCGCACACGTCTGAGTAGTGGTGGTGGGCCCTTGACCTCACTAGCAGAGTGGATGTAAAATGCTTGAGATGAAAAAAAACATGCAAGTACAGGAATATAAACAAGAGTACAAGGGAATTCGAATCGACCTAGGCTAGCCATGTACTCCAAGGGGTACACTCCCTTATTGCAGCGAAACTCAATCGTGCGACTCCAGACACTTACGAACTGCCTGGGCAGAATCCTAGCCATTGGTGCTGCCTGATGCTGTCTGCCCTGTCAAACTATGTTATCACATATTTCATATAACTGCTTGTAGTTTATGATAGTGTAGTTATAGTGTGTTCTTGTTTGGTGGTGCGCCCTCCTTTCTTGCCTATAACTTGTACCCACATGCTAGAGTGCAACCCCTCTTGGCCAAATCTCTCGCTACTACCCTACTTCCTACCCTAGCTATGGCTCCTAAGTTCTAAGCATATGCTAGGGATTTTGACATGCTATCAGAGCTGTTCGTTCCTGCGGACAATTTCTTGTTAACGGGCCCACCGCTAGCCATGGCGCTCCCCATCGCGTTTCACGCCGCAGCACCTGTCGCTCCCGAGGAGGCGCTCGTCAAGGCGCTCAGCCTGACGGTCGCGACGGCCGCGAAGGCGAGCCCCGTACGACGCCCCGCTTCCCGTCGCCCTGCTGCCCTGCTCCCCGCCGCTGCAGTCGCCGCGGCGCCCCGCGTCCCGTCGCCGTGGCGCCTCGCGTCTAGACGTCGCGGCGCCCCGCGTCCAGTCGCCGCGGCACCCCACATCCAGTCGCCTCGGCGCCCCGCGTCCAGTCGTCGCGGCAACCCACGTCTAGTCGCGGGGGGGGGGGGGGGGTGACCGCGGGGGTGGCTGGCGCCACTCTGCCCGCTGCTGCGCCACACAGCTCCGCCGCCACTCGCCTTCCCCTCTTTCTCCCTGTTGCGCGTGCAGCAGTGGGGAGAAGAGGGTTTGGGGGTGGCGGGTGTGAGCAACCTGCTTCTGTCCCTCCTCCTCTCTCTCTCACTGCCGCACGTGCCGCTGTGGGGGGAGCGTGAGGGGGTGGCGGAAGGGGTGCGGTTCTGGGTGGCGGCTGAACAAGGGGGGTGATGTTTAGGGGGGTGGCTGAAAGGGGGTGTGGAATTGAGGGTTCGTAAGAGGGGTTCGCCGCGACTGGCTCCCCCCCACCTCCTCTCCTTATCCCTTGCTCACCCTCCCCCTTTGTAAAAGGGGGTTCGTAAGAGGGGCTTGCCGCGACTGGCTCCCCCCCACCTCCTCTCCTCATCTCTCTCTCTCACCTCATCCTTGGTACTTCTCTCCTCTCCTCTCCTCTCTCTCTTTCGCCTCCTCCTCCTCACTTACCTCTCTGTTGTCTTCTGATGCGCAGGGTGTACCCCTTCAGGGGGCGTTACTCCACTTATTATTGCAAGCAGTTATGGGGGCGTGTCAAACTATGTTATCGTATATTTCATGTAACCGCTTGTAGTTTATGATTGTGTAGTTATCGTGTGTTCTTGTTTGGTGGTGCACCCTCCTTTCTTGCCTATAACTTGTACCCACATGCTATAATGCAACCCCTCTTTGGCCAAATCTCTCATTACTACCCTAATTCCTACCCTAGCTATGGCTCCTAAGATCTAACCCTATGCTAGGGATTTTGACCTGCCCGACAGTCCAGATCCTTTCGTAACCGTACGTCCTTTCGCGTCACTTCCGCCTTTTCGTCTTCAGCCTCGGTAGTGTGTGCTTCGATTGCTGCGGTAGGGAGTGCACAGTAATGTTTCATCTTTTTACTATTCGTAACAATATGAACCTTGTAAACACCAGGGGAAGGCCGTGACGACGCCCTTTACAATTCAGGGCTGTACCTGAAAGTAACCCTTTAAATTCGGACCCTAGATCTATGTCAACCCGTAATGTTGAGGGCATTAAGGCCATATGGCCTTGAATCGTCAGCACTGCCCGCGAGTTATGTCCCGAGCCCGCTAAGGGCGCGTAACTAATTCCGTCCGGACGGAGGCCCGTCCTGACTTTGACAGGGTTACATTTTTCGTCAAAGTTCGTGAGACACTTCGCAATCCCCCCTGCGCCGTCGCCACCGTCCGGACTAAACCTGTCACTTTTTTGTTAGAAGGGGTCCGGACCACCCTCCTGACACCGTCCGAACGGCAAAGCGGACCGTCCGTCCTACTTGCGGTGTCATTGGGGCACGGATTTTAGTACAATTTCGTACGTGCTAATGTAGTGTAGTTACATTTCGCAGCTAAATTATACATTGGGAAAATATGTCAATGGTAACTTACATGGGGCACTATAACGCGTACGGTAACGATTTCAACTCATTTGGTAACTCTCTTAACGCGTTTGGTAACTCGCTTAACACGTTTGGTAACTCGCTTAACGCGTATGGTACTTATATCTGTGTTTTCACGCATTTGGTAACTCGCATCACGCATTTGGTAACTCAACACAGGCGAGTGATCACGCGAATGGTAACTACATGAAACTCCTGCGGAGATGATGCTGACAAAGAGGAATTTATCGAGTGGGAAAGATTTTACGCACAGTTTTATCTTTATTGAACAAGTCCCGCCGCGACTTTAAAGGACCCCGTTTGTTCTATTGCCACGGACCGAGAAGTTTCAGAGCCGTTTTATATATATGTAGCTCGTACAAAAACGGTTAAAATCATATTTTTTATAGCATGATTGCGAACTTGCAAAATGATAAAAAAAAAACATTCCCTGAAAGGACCTCGGGCCTTTTACTTTTTGTAATTACTGCAACATTGGAGAATTTTCGCATGTGGAAAAAATACACCGATTTAGTATTACATGTTTCATTAAAAAAAAAACCATAAGCGCCTTGTCGCTAGGAGTTTAGGGTTGATGCTCTCAAATTCATTTGCCATCTGAAAGGGGTATAGATTTGTTTGCCCCGGCTGCACGATAGAATAAAGTACAAACAGTTTGCGGAAAGAGCGCCAGAATATCAGTTATGTATGAACAGTTGTTTTCACAACACTTACATTATTGCAATTAGCCTGAAAATCGGAAAGTGTGTCAGGATTTCGGAAAGTGTGTCAGAATTTCGGAAAACTGTGTCAGAATTTTGGAGAGTGTGTCAGAGGTTTCTGCTTCAAGATTCGTCAATTTAGTCTGACGCGAGCGGGAAAAACCAGAATCAGGGTCATTTTGGGCGAGGGTTTCTTCTAGTTACCATTCGCGTGATGGGCTGCTAGTGTATAGTTACCATACGCGTTAAGCGAGTTACCAAACGCGTTAAGCGAGTTACCAAACGCGTTGAAATCGTTAACGTACGCGTTATAGTGCCCCATGTAAGTTACCATTGACATATTTTCCCTTATACATTCGCCCCCAGGGAAGTTCCACATTTGTGGTCTGGACGGGCTGTCGTTCGGACCTGTGTCCCAAACGTCCGGACGGAGCTTCGTCCGCACGTTTTGGAAGCCACCTCCAGACCTTTTCCCTTTCGAAAAAAGATGCCCTGAATTCAAACACTGCAGCCAGTACCGGTGATTAGGTCGAGAACGAGGGTGTATTGGGGAGGGGGGGACACTGCAAGTCACCTTTAGTCAATCCTTGTACAAAGCTGAGTGTGCATGGATGTGGAGACCAAGATTGCTGAGTGTGCATGGATGCGGAGATGAAGACTGCTGAGTGTGGACGGATGCGGAAGACCTAGATTTTGGCATGGAATGTGGCGCCACAATTTTTGTAGCGATCGCCGGCAAAACTCCCCTCCCACCCTCGTTCCAATCATCTGCGCTCATGCCTCCTCCTTTCTTGCCACCCGTCGTGCCACTTTCACCCGCAACACTTCCCGTCTCTCCCCCTGTCCCTCACTCCCTTGCTCCTTTTCGCCATCCGTCCCCGTCCCCTTTCGTCACATCCTCTTTTCTTCCTAACTCCCCCCTCCCCTCCCTGCCCTCCCTCTCCCCTTCCCCCCCTCCCTGCCTTCCCTCTCCTCCTTCCTCCTCTCCCTTCTCTCCCCGCCGCCGCCCTCCCCCCTCTTTCACCAGATCTTTGTGGCAGCAATGCTCTCCACGCCATCAGGGTGCGCGCACCCATCCTCACCCACAAGGCACACCGCACCCTCCCTGCGGTTGGCAACCGTACCCCGTCCAATGCCAGTCGCAACTCAAAACTCTCAGTCAGCCGCCGCCGCCCGCCAACGCGCACAACCGTCGCATCTGACGCGCGACTGCCCAACCGTCGCATCTGACGCGCGACTGCCCAACCGTCACATCTGACGCACGACTGCCCAACCGTCGCATCTGACGCGCGACTGCCCAACCGTCACATCTGACGCGCCGCCTCACTGCCCAGCCGTCACATCTGACGCGCCTTCTGCCCAGGCGTCACATCTGACCCGCCTCACTGCCCAGCCGTCACATCTGGCGAGCCTCAGTGCCCAGACATCTGACGCGCCTCACTGCCCGTGGGGCACATGCGTTGTGCGTGAGCCTCTCTGCTAGGCTCCTCCGGCTGCTCGGCCGCGTGTCTTCTCTGCACGAGCAACTTATGGCGCAGCCGCGCCCTGCCCGTGCAACTGGGGGACATGACATGCGTCGTGATTGTCAGCATTGCATCGCACACGCACACTAGCACTCTCTGCTTTGCTGCTCTGCAGGCGCGCCGCACACTAGCTTGGTAGACACGGTGCGTAGCGCAAGGCGCTGAAAGGCGCTGAAAGGCGCCAGTGCAAGCTCTATCCCGGAGACACGTGATGCCAGGCGCAAGTGTCCACCTAGGGGCCGCAGCAGGGGTGGCGGGAGCAGCAGGAGCAGGGGGAGTAGCAGTGCCGCCTTGGCCTCTCTGCAGGCTCCTCTGCTCTGCTCGCTTGCAAGCTGAGTGGCGTGGAAGAGTGCCGTTCCGGCAGGATGATGTGAGGCCGTTGGGGCATGGGCGGCCGTTGGGGGACGGCCGGCTGTTCAGGAGTGTGTGGCCGCTACGGCTGCCCTTCCTGCTGCTGCTGCTGCTGCTTGCAGCACGAGGGCTGGCTGTGGAACACCGAGAGCTCAGAGGTACGCTCTGCTGTTGTGGTGCGGTGCTGAGTGGTGTGGTGCTGATTGTGCCGTGCTGAGTGCTGCTAAGTGGTGCTAAGTGGCGCTGAGGTGCACAGCATCTGCTTCTACAGTGGTACTATGTTGTAACGCCTGTGGGCTGTGTCTAAAGGCATCCGAGGCGCCTACATAACACCCTCGTTTTGACCCAGTGGGTAGCGAGCGTTATATATGCTGAGCCGCATCTCTCGCGTCCAGCCCTCTTGTGTCTTCTCTCTGCCGCCTCTCACCTCTGCCACTTTCCATGTGCCTTGATCTCTCGCAGTGCTCGTCGCTTCCCAATGCTCTTCCCTCACCCCCACTCATCCGTCCGCCTTCCAACCCGCCCCCTCCTCAGTCCCAGACTGTGCGGACAGCTTGGCAGCAGGCGTGGCTCCCAACCCCACCACCAACACACATGCCCCACATGCCTCACATGCCACCCCCACACCTCTCCTTCCACCGCTTCTCGTTCGAAAAACACCTCCTTGAATTCGGTCCCAGTGTAGATAGCACCACCCTCACACCTCTGTTCACCCCCTCGCACACCTTCTCAACATTCAAACCCCCTCACCACCCCCCTTAACCCTGCCCTTCACTCCCTCCTCCCCTCCAGACTGTGCGGACATCTTGGCAGCAGGAGTGGCTCTCACTCCAACCACCGACACAGATGCCACCTCCGAGGCCAACCCCCCCACCTCTTCCGGTGTAAGTAGCACCTCACCCGACTCCACGACCAACAACAGCAACAGCCGCAGTAGGGCGGGCGAGTGGGGCCACCACTTGCGGTACGAGCGGCGGGCGGGGCAGTGCTGGAGCCGGGCGGAGCTGCCTTGCTACGCGGGCAGCAGGCGCACGCAGGCAGGCCTCTTATTTCCGCAGAAGCAGCAGCAGCCACAACAACAAGGCGAAGGCAACAACACGGATAATTATTTCTCCGCGACAGCCGGGCAGCAGCTGCAGGTGAATCTGCGGCAGTACCACACGTACCATCGCGAGTGCCTCCACCGCGAGCCCCTCGACCACCTGCGCTCCACCCTGCTGGCCGGCAAGCCCACCGCGTGCCGCTACCTCGTCTTCTTCCACTCCTCCGATGCCCAGGGCAACCGCCTTCTCTCCCTCGTCTCCGCCTTTGCCTATGCGCTGCTGACCAATCGCATCTTCCTGCTGAGTTCTAAGGGCGGGCCGGCTGCTGTGCTGTGTGAGCCGTTTGAGCATGAGGAGTCGTGGGTGCTGTTTGGACGGGAAGGGCACTTGGAGGACCACTATGCTCAGGTGCTGGGGCTCAAAGTGGCCAGGGAGTGGCGGGCGGTGAGGGAGGGGAGGGAAAAGAGGGGGGAGATGGGAGGTGGGCGGAGGAGGCTGGTGGAAAGGTGGGTGTTGGTGCAGAGGGAGTGAGAAAGGCTGCGGCACGAGCACTGGCTAGGGAATCAGGAGGAGGAATATCAAGAGCAGCATGCTGGGCATCGGCGTCTGCTGCAAAACACGCTAGGACCACCAGCACCACCACCGCCACCGTTGCCGCCACCGCCGCCGCCGCCGCCGCCACCACCACTACCACCACCACCACCACCAGCACCAGCACCAGCACCACCAGCACCACCCCCACCCCCACCACCACCACCACCACCACCACCACCCCAACCCTCACCCCATCCCCCTCCCCCACCACCATTCAAAACGCCATCTGGAGTGGAGGAAGAAATCCCACCAATGTATGTCATGCCCGTGTGTGTGCGATGCCCACGTGTGCGTGCCATGACCATGTGTGTGTGCCATGCCCATGTGTGTGCGCCATGCCCATGTGTGTGCGCCATGCCCATGTGTGTGCGCCATGCCCATGTGTGTGTGCCATACCCATGTGTGCGCGCCATGCCCATGCCCATGTGTGTGTGCCCATGCCCATTCCTTGTGTATGAGCCATGTCCTTGTATTTGTATGACAGCCATGAAAATGCATGACAATGCCATGTTCTACAGTGTCATGACTCAATGCCACGTTTTACAGTGCCATGACTCAATGCCACGTTCTACAGTGTCATGACTCAATGCCACGTTCTACAGTGTCATGACTCAATTCCACGTTCTACAGTGTCATGACTCAATGCCACGTTCTACAGTGTCATGACTCAATGCCATGTTCTACAGTGTCATGACTCAATGCCACGTTCTACAGTGTCATGACTCAATGCCACGTTCTACAGTGTCATGACTCAATGCCACGTTCTACAGTGTCATGACTCAATGCCACGTTCTACAGTGTCATGACTCAATGCCACGTTCTACAGTGTCATGACTCAATGCCACGTTCTACAGTGTCATGACTCAATGCCACGTCACTGACAATGACAACCTCTCCGCCATGGCGGCTCCTAGGATCTTTGGGATGGCCAATGCCTAGCAATTTCTTACATGATCTTAAGTCTGAAGTAACGTTACGATGTAGGTCTTTAAGCTCTACACAACTGTCTATTTTTAATGTCCAAAAAGGGGACATTGCAAGGACATTGTGGAGTTCCAGGCATCCTCGGTTTCGTCTCCTTCCATCAGACAGTGATCAATTATCAAGGCTAACATTGTCCCAAGGCTTCCATGGAGTACTACGCGAAATTACAAACGACCTTCAAGGAACTGATGCATTTTCAAGGCTACCAACAAAGACAGAAGCTAGCGAGCTGCACAAGGTGCTGTCGATCCAAGGGATCTGCTGCAAGGGAGACCACCGTAAAAAGAAGACAACAACTGTGCTCAGACAACACTTGGGTTCAGCCATCTCCAGGCTGTTCCGTGTTTCTCATCATCGCACCATGCCAAGGGTTCCCAGGACCAACGCGGCTAAGACGACCAAAATCACCGGTCAAGACAGTGACAATGGCACTACCACTCCCCCGCGCTCTCTGCTGAAGGATGAGGACTCTGACAATGAAACGGCAGCAGAAGAGCTGGATCTGGAAGAGGAGGGTGACGGTTACCTCAGTGATGACTCGGATGAGATGTTCGACCCGGTTGTCGCTGCTGATATTGCTTCCCAGACAAAGATCTCATTAACACTGCTGGTGCCTGTTAACAGGATTGCGGAAGTTCCGCGTACCAAGGCTGCAATCATCGCTTTGCTTGATGACTGCAAGGAACATTTATCACCTGATGTGCTGCAGACTACGACTTACCAGAAGCTCCTGCCGACCTTTTTCTCACGGCAGAGGTTTGGGATGCTGCAAGTCACTTTTAACAACGCTCGTGATGCGGAGTTTGTGCGAGAGCAAGTCATCGACCATGAGTGTGCAGACGACAAGTTTGTTAAGTTTACCTGGCAGTTCCCGGAGAACGCGCGGTTCCTCAGGAGCGCTCCATCAACCCATTGGCTATTGAAGTAGTGGACAAGGCGGTCCCGGCTGAGATATCACCAGAGATGGTCCGTCGTACGCTGGTGGAGGCTGTCATGGTCAAGAGGGGGAAGAGTGGGTTGGTGCGCTACCTCGGAGCAACGGCATCTGCTGATGTTCAGTTTTCAGCTGGCGGCCAGCTGAATCAGATTGGAGCAGATGGGATCACGCCTCGAACCTTGAAGCTGTCGTGCTTCACCGACGCCACATGGGCCTCAGAGGAGGAGGACCAGTCATCAGTTGGCGGCTTTGTGTGCATGGTCGGAGGTGGACCAGTGAGCTGGAGGTCCAAGAAGCAGAGTGAGATTGCTCAGTCTTCCGGAGAGGCAGTGTATATAGCAATGTACCATGCCATCAAGGAGATCGTTCTCCTGAGGAAGCTGCTGAAGGACATGGGAGCTGAACAGGAAGGACCTACACCACTTCTCTCCGACAGCGAGGCTGCTATTGGCATGGCCAATAATCCTATCCTGAATGGGCTGAACAATCACATGAAGATTAAGTGGCACTGGGTGAGGCAGATGGTGAAGGAGGGGATTGTTCAGCTTCACCATGTGAAGGCTGGCAAGCAGGCGGCAGATTTTCTCACCAAGAGACTCCCCGAGAGCGCACATTGGAAATGTGCTAAGATGTGTGGCATGGCATTGCACTAGTGTGGGCAGCATTGTCACGACTGCATGTGTGTGAGTGTGTGTGCATGCAGTCCTGAGGGGGAGTTTTTTGTATGCACGTCATTCTTAGTGCATGTCATCCTAACGTCCTGCCGAGTGCTCGTGCTATTCATGCGTGCATTGTTTGCATGCGCATATGTCGTTGTGCATGGCTGTTGGATATTATCATCTCTGTGGTTTCTCCAAGTTTGAATGCTTGATCATGCAGGAGAGCTCCAGAGCTTCCCAACAATACCAAGATCGCCTTATTCCGACCAAGATCGCCCAAGTTACAAGATTTCCAAGCTTTGGGAATTCTTTCTCATTTTGAGATGTCTACATTGGGCGATTATTGGGACATGACTATAAAAGGGATCTTTGGTTGGGTGGTTAGGAAGCCAACTTTGGCTTTTGGATTGGGGTGGCTAGAAGTTTCTAGCATGGGTTGCAAATGGTGCAACACCTAGGCAAAATCCAACTAGATTGGATTTTGCATGTGACACCTCAAGGACCTCATGATGAGGGTTGCATCGTTGCTGCTAGGAAGGTTCCCACCATCCTTCCATACATCTTGGAGAACCCCTTATCTCTCATGGTTCTCTTGGAGTCCCCAACTCCAACATTCTATTTCCTAATGTTTGTACTTCCTCCACCATTCTAGTCATGCGGCTGCTGGACGTTTTCAAGTCGTTCTCACTCTCTATACCATCTTTCTAAGTAATTCGAACTGGAGATGGTAGCAAAGCCTAAGGCGCATATTCCTACCGAGAGGATTTGCGTTTAGTCGAGAAATGAGTTCGTCGTGGGTTCTCACAGTGACGGATCTTGAACAACAGGGTGATTGATAGCGGCGCTACCTATAGCATGAATCTTCGCGCGGACTTACTCAACGAACTTGAACCGTCACCGGTGAAGCATGTCACATCGGCTTTGAGGTAGCGAGCAGATGTGAATGGCATGGGCAAAGCCATGTTCAAGGGTGCTGATGGGAAGATGGTGGGCCTTAAGAACTACTTTGGGTGCCCAACCTTGCAGCCAACCTGATTTCCGCGCGGCGGTTGCAATAGGTCGGCATGGACACGAGCTCGAAGGGAGCCAAGACCTACACCGCTAGGCTTGGCGAGCAGATTCTTTGGGACCTTCATGAGGACAAGGATTTCTACAATGAGATGTGGCAGATCCCTGTGGTCCCAATGCCTAAGGAGAGGCAATTGGCAGCAAGCATCAGCACCAAGAGTGAAGCGGTTGGTAGCGGCGACAGCTCCAACGATGGCGTCAAGGAGAACGAGTCCAAGAAGTGCAATCTTGGAGGGACCAACAAGCAGTGTGAGCATAAGGAGAGTGGTGCAGCAGCCAAGGAGCAGCAAAAGGGTGAGGAGAACCCCCAGGCAGCAGCGGAGGAGGAGTACGGAAAGAGCATGTGGGGCACTATTGCGAGTGCGGCATTCTCCAATCCGACTTCGGCTACAGGGGAGTGTCATTGGTTGACTTTGCATCGGCGCATGGGGCATGTGGCTCTGCCAATTTTGCAGCAGCTAGTGAAGGAAGAGATGGTTGCTGGCATACGTGTGAAGGGGGTGCTCATTAAGGTACTTGGTTGCCCAACATGCATGCAAGACAAGTTCTCCCAATTCCCGTTCTCTAGCTCGGAGGCACCGGCTAAGAGGCCACTTGATGAGGTGGTGATGGACGTGGTGGTCCTCTTGAAGCTTGGAGCTGCTGGAGCAGAGTATTTCCTCACCATTGTGGACGTCTATACCCGCATGACCTGGGTGTATGTGCTGTCCAAGAAGAGTGACGTGGCTGAAACGGTGAAGACCGATTGGTTGCCGATGGTGGAGCGGCAACAAGACCATCTTGTGAAATCAATCCGCACCAATCAAGGGGGAGAGTTCCTGAGCAAGGATTCTCATTCTACTGAAGAAGAATGGCATGCACTCCCTTAAAATGCCATACTCCCCTGCAATGAACGGGATCGCCGAGCGAGCGAACCGGACAATCACGGAGACGGCACGCGGGTTGCTCATTGAAGCGGGGCTACCCGACTATTTCTGGCCAGATGCGGTGCGGAGTGCGTGTGTGGCTAATAGAACAGAGCCTTGACTCATGTAAGACCAGACAAATGGGTGCCCTATGTGGAGTGGATTGGAAGGAAGCCAAATGTGGGTATGCTTCGGGTTTTCGGGTGCATGTGCATGACGCTCGTGCCTAAGCATCTTCGGCACAACAAGCTTGGAGCGAAGTCGACATGGGCTGTCCATTTGGGCTTGGCTCAAAACAGCAAGGGATGGCATCTTTGGGACCCATTCACTAAGACATTCTTGGTGAGCAGGGACTGCAAGTTCATGGAAAAACTGATGTACAAG